ATATGGCAGACGCTCCATTAGAACAACCATTCAACCGTGTTTCTGTCCCAAAGAGAACTCCAGGAAAGAAGAGGATCAGAGTTTCCCTCCCCACAGGAAAACAATTGCCACCTGTCAGTTGCTGACTGAGGAATCCTGGGAGTTGAAGTCCACAGGTCTTAAAGTGGTTGAGTTTGCAAAACACTGTAATGTTTAAACTTGACAATTTTAAGGCATGTGGACTTGTGTCCATGTTTAAACTTTGACAATTTGACAAACTTGCTGGCTGTGGAATTCTGGGAGTTGAAGTCCACATGCCTTAAAATTGTCAAGGTTGAGAAACACTGGTTTAAAGCATTGGGCTGGAGAGCTCCAGGCACATGTCCCTCCTAACCATGGATGGTCCCTGGCCAGTGCCCCTCTCTTAGCCCAAATCCCTCCCAGGGTTGTGCAGAAAAAAAAATGGAATGAAAGTGTGCTGTGTACACCACTTTGTTCTCTTGAATCAAAGAGGTCAGTGGAATAAACAAAGAAACATAATTCAGTGATTCTGCATAGACATGTTTTGGGGCCCGTCTCTCCCCTTGCTCAGAATCAGATTGATTGATTCATTGATTCATTGATTGATTGATTTCAGGGCAAGACAAGAGTTTCAGAGGTGCTGAGGTTCCTTACTTTTCTGTCCCAATTTGGTGTTCAGCCACAATCAGAGTCACAATCCAAATACAGGACATTATCACTAGGTAGACAGATTCACCTGCATATTCTCAGATGTATTGGATGGGAATGTGGTTTCTTCAAAGGCCAAACAACCTGGGGGCGGGGAGGGGGATTCAGCCTTCTTCCTTGCCCTCCACCTCTGAGCAACCTCCTGTAGCCAGACACTTCCAAGAATTAGTGGCTAAAACATATGAAGAACGGTTGCAGGAATTGGGTATGTCTAGTTTAATGAAGAGAAAGACGAGGGGTGACATGATAGCAGGGTTCCAATATCTAAGGGGCTGCCATAAGGAAGATGGGGTCCACCTATTCTCTAAAGCACCTGGAAGAAGGACAAGAAGCAACAGATGGAAACTTACCAAGGAGAGAACCAAGCTAGAAATAAGGAGACATTTCCTGTCAGTGAGAACAGTTAATCAGTGGAACAACTTGTCTCCCGAAGCTGTGGGTGCTCCAACACTAAAAGTTTTTAAGAAGAGATTGGACAACTGTTTGTCTGAAAGGGTATAGGGTTTCCTGCCTGAGCAGGGGGTTGGACTAGATGACCTCCAAAACCCTTTCCAACTTGTTATTCTATTATTTTGACTACTGTAGTCCCAAGACATCCAAAGGCTACCAGTTTGTTCAAGCAGTGCTTCTCAACCTTGACAATTTTAAGGCATGCGGACTTCAACTCCCAGAATTCCACAGCCAGCAATGCTGGCTGTGGAATTCTGGGAGTTGAAGTCCGCATGCCTTAAAATTGTCAAGGTTGAGAAACACTGTGTTGGAGTGAAGGGAGACTTTCTCCTCACCTCAGCTGAGAAAAAGCATTCCCTGAAAGATTCCCTCAGCTCCTTACGGACTTGTGAGGTTCACCAAACCCTTGGATTTTTCAGCTGAGCCCCACAGCCCTCGCCTGCCCCTAAAGATAACTGTCACTAATTGCAGATTGTCTCTGCATTCGGTGCCTTCAGGTGGAACCCATCAGCATCTCTGTGGATGATCCCCCGGGATCAATCCTTTGAAAGCGATGGCCTGCATATTCAAGAGGTCTAAAGAGACAGTTGGGGCATCAGGGCAGAGACCCCAGAGAAGAGGCATCACAATGTGGGGCTCTTTTATCAGGCTCGGGAGTTCAACATCACAATAGAGGAGACGCCACAAAAATCCCAGTCAACTATCTTTCAAACAGTCAGTGGAAAAATCAAGACCTTTTCTTACCCGTTGTGTAAACCACCCGATACACAATCATTATTGTCAGGAAGATTTCAAAGGAAAGCCGTAGAATGCAGATTCTTCAAAGGGGCAGATTTGGGGGGGGGGGAAGAGAACAAAATGTAAATCTTTCTCTTTTCTGAGACTCTGAACTCTTTGGGATCGTAGTGGTGATGGTTTATGCGAAGAAAAGTCATTCTTTTCTCCAAAAGGAGTTACCTTCAAAATAAAACAATTGCCTTAGGAAAGGCATCATTGGAAAGACAGGGGTTGTTCCGTATGGATAAACACGGCATGGTGATGGTGGTGGTTGTTGATATGTATACAGGCACACATATTATACCACAAGAGAGTGTGATAACTGCAAACAATGTCATGTCATAAAGAAGCCAAAGTTAGCCAAAGTCTGATCTAAAACTGGCTGGAGATTCCATAGAGCAGGGGTCTCCAACCTTGCCAACTTTAAGACTTGTGGACTTCAACTCCCAGAATTCCTCAGCCAGCAAAACTGGCTGAGGAATTCTGGGAGTTGAAGTCCACAAGTCTTAAAGTTGCCAAGTTGAGGGACCCCTGCCATAGAGTACACAGATAGGCCATTGGTGGTTCTCCCTTGCCCCAACCCCTCCGTCCAATCAGCCACAGGCCTTAGAGGCAAAGGTAAAGGATGCTGCCAAGGACAGCTGAGCAATCTTGAAAGCGATCAAGCAGAGTGGGATCAAAACATCGAGGATCCATTCTGAAGATTTGGAAATATCAGGGTGTCCAAGGAGGGAAGGTGTCCAGAACCCCAAGGTGGTGGCTGCAAGTGTGTCATTAAAGTTTTACTCATCGTTTACGTGCAATGCACATACACATACGTGAGTTTTTTGACCACCCTTGCAGGTAAAGAAAAGGGCAGATAGCTTATGATACCAACTATCCACGCAAGCGGGAAATTGTTTCCTTTCAAAGCACACCTGAAAAGGCCCAGGCTGCACAGCCAGAGGTGAGAATCTTAAATATCTCCCTGGAAAGTGTCCAAATAGATATATGCCGAATGCTTGGAGCAACTAGGGGGGGGGGGGAAATGCTACACAAATCTATGTAAGAGTTGTTATTACTGTGGACATCATAGAGTTGAGCTGCTGGGGAGGAAGAGGCATCTGTAATTTACTGCAATTTCAACTGGTGGAAAAGGGCATCAATCAAGACAAAAAAGAGTGTCTCTAAAACAAGCTTGTCAATTTGCTCGTCAGCCCCACCATTGCACCATTAATGGCAGGCTGAAGCAAGAAAATTCTATGAATGCAGATTTTCCTGTTACCATCTTCATGCAATGAAAAGTATTACTTGCTTAAAACAGGTTACAATTGCAGTACAAAAGTTGGCCTCGAACCTGGATGTATAAAAGAATTCATGTGCACTGGTTGTTTTCCAGCAAAGGAATAAGCTAATTCAAGGATCTCTCTCTCTCTCTCTCTCTCTCTCTCTCTCTCTCTCTATCTCTCTATCCATCCATCCATCCATCCATCCATTATATTTATCTATCGTATCTATCGTATCTCTCTCTCTATCTCTCTATCTATCTATCCATCCATCCATCGTATTTATCTATTCTAACTATATATCGTATCCATCCATCCATCCATCCATCCATCCATCCATCCATCCATCCATCGTATTTATCTATCGTATTTATCTATTGTATCTATATATCATATCTATCTATATCTATATCTATCTATATTTATATCTATAAATATCTCTATCTATCTCTATCCATCCATCCATCCATCCATCCATCCATTGTATTTCTCTCTCTCTCTCTCTCTCTCTCTCTCTCTCTCTCTCTCTCTCCCTATCTATTATCTATCCATCTATCTATGAGAAAACACTGCATTCCCTTTACAGCCGAGACCCAGAAATCAGAATTAACCACTTTTCAGGTTAAAGACTGTCTTCACACTTGGCCGAAAACTTTGGTTTATTGAATAAGCCAATATTGGCTGGGTTCGCATATTGTCCTAAGCCGGGGTTTAAATCTTCAAAACTAAATCAGTCAAAGGCTTTAGCCCATAGGAATCCCATAGGAAAAACTGCTCCAGTTTTTCTCACTCATCCCACGTCATCTCCTTGTCACCACTGCATTCTTTGCAAATAAGCCAACTGCTCAATTTAAATTGAGAATCCAGCCATAATGTACCTCAAGCAACCTTTTTCTTCCAAACCCCCCCTCCCCAAAAAACCCCCCAGCCCCCAAATTACCCCTGCTGTGCCTTCATCAATAAAGTTTCTGCTCTATAAAAATCCATATCTCTTTTAAGAGTTATACCCTTCTGTATCAAAATACACAAAATAATAGACTTGGACGGACTCTTCTGAAAGCCTACAGCCTCCATTAATTTTTTTAAAAATCTGGCCTGTATTTATTAAAGATGTGAAGAGACGTCTATTAGCTGCACTGGGTGTGTTAATTATCTGTAGAGGCAGGTAACCTTAAATCCAAGTTAGTTTAGCCCAGGCTTCTTCATTTCTTGCTGAGAACCAATCCTCAACAAATTATTCCAAGGTTTTGTTCCATTCCAAGCCATTCAAACACCTGTTTTCCCTAACCCAATTCTGTGAAGGAAGTATATGGGGATGAATCACAAGTGAACCAACTTCAAAGCTGTCAGGACATCTCTTTTGAGTTTAGATTATGTTATTATCTGAGTCAACATAAGTAGAGTGTCAGCCCTCACTTCTGGAAGCGTGCCAGCAGAAGATTGCCTCTGCATTGGATGGAGCAGGCCCAACCTATTAACATTTGTCCCACAATGAAAGTGTTAGCTCTGCATTTCCACAGCAAATCTCACTGCAACATTATCTCTGCATTCCTGTATCTACTTATGCAGAAAAGCACATGCCATTACGCTCAGTGGGTTTATCTATAGGTAAATAGCCTTAGCTAATAATCTAGTGTGACATTGATCTACTTGATTTTAAAAAAATAACCATCCTCTACCTCTACACAGTGCTCATTAGCATTCAGAAATCGCATTGTAGAGTAAGTGTAGAAAGCAGAATCTCCTTTTCTTTCTTACATTATGGTGCAGTGGTTACCAACTATCTGTCCTTTCAAATGAAGGGGTGAATAAAATGCTCATTTTGATAGGCTTTCTGAAAAAGCTCCGTTCCCCAACAGCTTTATCCACAGACCAGCAGAAGACATTTAGAAGCACCTCTCTGTGCCCTGGGAGGAATCTTGAATTCTCTCCCAGATGAGATGTTCTTATGCAATAAATCCAGGATCATATCCAAAAATAATAAACATCCAAAACTCCAGAGGAAATAACTATCAGCTTAGCTGTACAGTACAGGAAAGGCACAACATCGCCCTTGGACTGCTGTTTCTTCAAACATTAAGAGACCAAAACGTATCCCTTTCCAACTCAACTGGCATTTGCGAGAGGGAGGAATAATATCACAAACTTCAGTTGCACCCGGGGCAAGTTTGCTAAAGTATTTAGCGTCCCACGCCCCACTCCACGGAAAATACTGCCATTGCTTCTGAAACCAAACACAGCAACCCACTCCCAGTTAATTAAAGCAGCTCGTTTGTTTTTTAAAAGGGAAATAACCGAAGGGGGCTTGGAATGAACATTTCTAGTTTTCTAATCTTTTTTTTTTTTTCCCTGGTTTTCTGCGAGAAAGAATTGCTGGAAAATGCGCGGCGGCGACGGCAGCAGCAGCCCGCTTCGAATCCCGTCGCTCCCGAAACGCGGCGAGGTAGGTTCGGAAAATCAGTCCACTTACTCAACGTCATTAGACATGGTCTGCCCAGGTTTTCCAATGTCGGCTTTAGCCAAAAGATGGTTAGTTTCCTTTCCCTCCTGGGCTGAAGCGCTCCTAGTGCCGTCTAAAGAGAGTCATCAGCTGTAAAGTGAAGGCTTTCTTTCAAAGCCAGAGGTTTATGTTGTACAGGCGTTCTGCTGACAGGTAGGCTCTGTCAGGTTCCTGCGCCTGATTGGCTGGGAGAGACAGGTGCCAGGAGACAGGTACAACTCAGCAGGTGCAGCAGTTAACCCTTTGCAAACCAGGCAGCGAGGAAGAGCTGCCATTATCGGAACAAGGGGTGTGTGTGTGTGTGTGTGTGTGTGTGTGTGTGTGTGTGTGTGTAGAGATGAAGAGAATTGGAAGAGGTCTTAGGGAGGGGGAGAAAGAAATAAAGGAGGAGAGAAAGTCCAAGAGTGTAGCTTTTTTCCTCATGGAAAAGCTGATTTTTTTTGTGGTCCTCAGGAGGAAGGGTTTTAACTCCAACACATCATTATACACATATTGACTGCAGCTCGTATAGCATATGCTCAATGTTGGAAGCGTGAAAATAGACCCACGAATGATATGATTATGTACAAAATCTTGGAATGCGCAGAAATGAACAAACTTAAACGTTAGAATTAAAAGACAAGGAGGCAACAGAATTTTATGAAATTTGGAATAAATGTTATAATTGGCTAGAACAGAGAAAGAAAAAGACATAATTATCGATGGACATAAAATGTAAATAAGATGTAAAGAATGCTTAAAATGTATAGTCCTGTTCTGTTAAAAGAAAAGATTTATGTTTATGTATTTTAAGTTTGTTTTGGTGTATGGTGAAAAATAATAAAAAATTTTTAAAAAAGGAGGAAAGGTTTTAAGGCAGCGGAGGGAGGCAATTTGCTATCATAGCTGCCATTCTTAAAGGATGCAGAAAAAATGTCATTCTGTCTGCACCCAGCAAGGACATTAGCTGGGTGGTATCTGCCGAAAACGGGGGGGGGGGGTGAAAGAAAAGTAAAAGCGATGCAAGGGAGGTGAGGCCTTGGGGCTTTGGGAGAGGGTTAGGCAGGGGGTTTTAGAAGGGGAAAGTTTGTTTTACTCTTGGACCCCTACACTTAGCAAAGCTGCACCAGCAAAATTTCAATTTTAAATGCTTTATTTATTGGCCGGACAGAATAAAATATCCATAGAATTGCTTCATGTACTGATCTATCTATTTATGAAAGGCAAAGGCGTGTGACAGGATCAAAAGATAAATGAATGTATACAATAAAATAAAAAAAATAAGATAAAATATGGTATTATACTGAGTGATGCACACATCTAAACTGTTCCAGTATTAATCGTGTTGATAGTGCTAATCATGTTAATAGTGTGTCATATGGTACAAATGATGGAACAGAACTAGACAATCTGGGACGTAATTTTGAATTCCCTTCTTATCTACAGACATACACATTACATACAAATACCTTATCCTCCGTATTTGCACCAGGCCCATAAGGGCTGATCTAAGAATATGGGGGAAAAAAAATCTTATTTTGTGTGAGGAAACTGCTCCATCTCACCCACTGCAGCAGCAGCAGCAGCAGAACCACCACTACCACTTAAGGGTTTCAGAAGGGAACTTGGCTTAGCCTGCAAGGGATGGTCAGCATGAACCTGAGACTTTTAATAAGTAAAGAAAGACCCCTATCACAGGATGGGTGACGTGCCACTCAGAGGCACCAATACCCTGCTAAACCAGCCCCTCTTTGCCCTCCTGTTTTAAAAAAGTTGTTTGGTTACAAACAGTTAAAGAGAAAGTTGCTATGCTGCAAAATGAAGTGCCAGCATCTAGCATTATATTTATTTTCAGCAATGCCCTTGGACTTGAATGCCACAATAGAAATTATGCTAGGCAGTGATTTTGCCTTCTCGCCAGGAGGGCTTTCTGACAGGCCATGCCCACCCTAACAGCTCTTTTGGGAAAGTTTAACGCATACTTTTAAACTTCCCAATGTGCTGGTGGCCCTCAAACGTTGCCTAATGAAGGGGTGCCATTAAATTCAGGGCAGCAGAGAATATGCATCTTACCTGGATCCCAAAACATATAAATGTAATTATGCACACACAGAGGCTATAATGGACTCAAAGTGATGCCAGGAGTGTGTGATGTGTCATATATCTCTGTTTTGTAATCCATCCAGTGTGGTATTTACATTCTGTAATCTTCAATTTCAGAATGCAGATTGGGAAAACGTTTACTTTACAAGAATATTCTTGTGCATTTGTCGTGACACACCCAGTGGGAGTGAATGTGCAATGCTCTTCTGGGTGAGCTTGGCAGTGGGAGGGGGTACTTTTAATCTCGAGGGCCATCTGTCCTTCAAACTTCCCTCTGCTTAGAACAGTGTTGCGCAACCTCAGCAACTTTAAGTAAGATGTGCAGACTTCAACTCCCAGAATTCCCCAGCCAACATGCTGGATGGGGAATTCTGGGAATTGAAATCCTCACAGTTTAAAGTTGCTGACTTAAAATCACCCTCTGATGTCCTGCTGTGAATATTCTCACTTTCAGACATAAGGGAGGTAGAATCAATAAACGGAGCCTTTTCTGTGCTGGCCCCCCAACAGTACAATAATTCTTTGATTCCAACTCACTTGTTATAGGTGGCAAGTCACAATGTCTGTATTTTCCCAGGCAGTTTCCATATAACCCTCCAGCATTCCCTATTTATAGCTATTGTGCTTTAATGATTGTTCGCCATTGTGCTGTAAAATTTTAGCATTAGATATTTCAGTGTTTTATTCTGCTTCTGAAAAGGACTGTGGAAATGAGTAACTTTAGATTAGCAGTCTCAATTGAGTAACTTAATCAAAATTTACATTTTGAATCAATTAGGAAAAAGAACAAAGAACACAACCGGTTCAAAGAAAGAAAGAAAAAACCCTGAAGTTTAAGAATTTATTTAATTTTTTTGTGATTGGAAAGGGTGAATGCCTTAGTGCATGAGACCATCAGGAACATCTGTGGAGGCAAAATATGAGTGAAATAACATATTTCCCTTAATCTTCCCCTGGAATTGCTATTCTGAAACATGTCCGAAGTAACAGAGAACTGCAGTGACTAGCCAGCACTGCTACTTTGATCTTCTAGGACAGTATTTCTCAAACGTGTCCACTTTTAAGATGGGTAGATTTCAACTCCCAGAAACAAGCTGACTGGGGTTGAAGTCCACATATCTTCAAATGACCAAGGTTGAGAAACTCTATCCAAGCAAATTCTTTAATCCAGGGGTCTTCAAACTTGGCCCTTTTATGACTTGTGGACTTCAACTCCTAGAATTCCTCAGCCAGCATGCCTGGCTGAGGAATTCTGGGAGTTGAAGTCCACAAGTCATAAAAGGGCCAAGTTTGAAGACCCCTGCTTTAATCCCTCTGTGAAGCTAGCCATGGCTCCTTCTCATTCCAGGGTTTTTCAAGGCTCAGTTAAAATGAGTTCCCCACCATTGATATGAATGGGGCTGATCTCAAAGAAAAGCTAAGCAGCTGGTTGATACTTGTGTGGGAAACCACCAGGAAATGATAAAGCAATGGGCTCAAGTCAGAAGACAGGAAACAATTTGGAAAAAGGCTGTGGCAAATCACTTCCATGTTATTTTCAAGGAAATGATACACAGAGGTCCATGAAGCTGCCAGGAGTTCAGGTAGTTGAAAGGATACTTAACTTTAGCTTTCATTAACCTACATCTCCAAACATCATATTCTTAACATGAAGGGAAAAAGAAGGGAGAATACCTTTTTGTTTGTTTACTTCCACTCTGTGGTGTGTCCCTTCTTATACACCTTTTTTTGAGGGATCCTTGTTGGTTTCTGAACTTGCAGATGTTTTCTTGAAGATGTTTAATTACCTAAATCAGGTAACATCATCATTGCTAGCAAGGAAACAACCAAGCTCAGAGAACACCATCTCAACCTTGAGCTGTAGTCCTAGCACTGATGTTGTCTTATCACTGAAGATGTTACTTAGTTTGGGTAATGAAATGTCTGCAAGAAAACAAGCAAGCTCAGAGAGCACAAAGGACATGTCATTTCAACTCTGAGCACCAAAGATTCTCCTTTATTGGTAACATCTTTTTTTCCTAAACGAAATAGCTCCAAGCTTTATCAGCTTTCCTCATAGAGATCTGCTCCAGTTCTTGGATCATTTTCTTTCCTCTTTTCTACAACAACTCTTTGAAGATAATTTTATCTCCACCAGGGATGGGCAATTGGAAGCCACAGGGCCACGGGAGATCATCAAGCCTTCTTCTGCAGCCCTCTATCTTTGCCTGTGGAAAGGTGAGTGGGAAAACTGAAAATTATGGACGCTATAAGCACCATTTTAAAATCAAGGAACATCTATCTCCCCAAACTGAGTTTATCCACTCCCTGTACTGCCCCTGCTAAACCATTGTGATTGTGGTCATTGGGCTTTTCCTACTCCTAAACCAGGTATTTATTAAAACTACAGGACAAGAGATCTTGTTTTGGAAAATACCTGCCCTTCTTCTCTTTCTCACACAGCAAAAGTAGAACTACCAGATCTCAGCTGCTAAAATCAAGATGTTCAACAAGGGGTCTAAATTTATCCATTTTCTTGGTTTTCCCAAATTCTTGAACATACACTCAACAAGGACCAGTAGAACGTAGCATGGTTTTTCTATTCCTTTGCTTCTTCTGGTGGCTTCTGATGCAGCCCAAATCTGATCAGCTCAACAGATGCCTTTTTAAAGATGGTGTCAACTGGTTTTATACACATGGAGTTGCCTTCCATAACCTGTTAGGACTGCAACATCCAGCATCCCTCCATTTGGGGATTTATAGTCCCCCCCCCACATCTGGAAGGAACCAGATTAGGAAGTAAACATCAGAAGTAATATTCTTCTTTCTCTAACTTTTATTTTATTATTTTCAGATGGATTATGGACTGGCATAAAGGCGCAGCCATGAAAGCGTCATTGAATGATATTGACAAAATCATTTGTTGTTTTTAGAGCCCACAGAGGTTTTGCTGTTTGGGGGCGGAGGGCTTTTCAAGGCTGTAACCGTGTTGTCGCAAGCCCTCCCAGCTGTTCAGAACTAAGATTTATGCAACAAAAACAAAACTCATTGACTATTCAAGCACTTCCCATCCTCCTGGAGAGTTTCTGTCACCCACACGTTGCAACAAGAGTGAGCAAAAAGTGATGGGCTTGGTGTGTGACTCACTTCAGTGGGTTAAAGAAGGCAGCAAAGGATTCCAACCAGCATGTTAGAACAAGCTGGGGAAAAAAGGAAGGCCCAAATAGAGAGAGAAACAACAACAAAAAAAAAATTGCCTCTCCCTTTCTATTTTTTTTTTCTTGTCTACCCTTGGGAGTCAATATTCTGTAAGGAGCAGGGAGAAAGCTTCAGCTGAAGACAAATTCTAAAAATAACATTTCCCTCTAATGCTGTCATTTGTTTATACCTCTAAAATCTCTTTTTTTCCTAGCTCTGTGTCTTAAGGCATAGATTCTCAGACTTTGTAGTACAATGATCTCCTCAGTGAAACTGGGAGAGAAATATGCAGTGGGGTGCCCCAGGGCTCAGTTCTGGGCCCAGTGCTCTTCAACATCTTCATCAATGATTTGGATGACAGGATAGATGGGGAACTCAGCAAATTTGCAGATGACACCAAACTGGCAGGATTAGCCAACACTCGCTCCAGAAGATAGGCTTAAGATACAGGAGGACCTGGACAGACTTGAACATCGGTACTATCTACCAAAATGAAAGTCAGTGGCGAAAAAAGATAGTGTTCTGCATTTAGGCAAGAAAAATCAAATGCACAGGTATAGTATAGGTGGTACCTTGCTCAATAGTAGCAACTGTGAGAGGGATCTTGGAATCACAATATGAGCCAGCAGTATGCAGCAGCTGCCAAAAAAGCCAACACAGTGCTAGGCTGCATTAATAGAGAAATAGCATCAAGATCACATGACGTGTTAATATCACTTTACAATGCCTTGGTAAGGCCACACTTGGAATACTGCATCCAATTTTGGTTTCCACAATGTAAAAAAAAGATGTTGAGGCTCTAGAAACAGTGCAGAGAAGAGCAACAAAGATGATCAGGGGACTGTAACATAAAGAATGGTTGCTGGGATTGGGTGTGCTTAGTTTAATGAAAAGAAGGATCAGGGGTGACATGATAGCAGTGTTCCAATATCTCGGGCTGCCACAAAGAAGAAGGGATCAACCTATTCTCCAAAGCACCTGAGGGCAGGACAAGAAGCAATGGATAGAAACTAATCAAGGAGAGAACCAACCAAGAACTAAGGAGAAATTTCCTGACAGAACGATCAGTGGAACAACCTGCCTCCAGAAGTTGTGAATGCTCCAATACCGGAGGGTTTTAAGAAGAGATTGGACAACCATTTGTCTGAAATGGTATAGGGCAGGGATAGGCAACCTTGGCTCTTTTATGATTCATGGACTTCAACTCCCAGAATTCCTGAGCCAGCCATGTTGAGGGGAAAGGGAGCGGTTTCCATGCTTAGCCATGCTGGCTCAGGAATTCTGGGAGTTGAAGTCCACGAGTCATAAAAGAGCCCAGGTTGCCTACCCCTGGACTAGAAGACCTCCAAGGTCCCTTCCTATTCTGTTATTCTGTTAATTTATAAATGTGTGTGTCTGCAATAAACCTATTAGACTATTCTCATATGTGGCTCCTGCTTTACCTGGGCAAGTTAACAGTCAGTACACTGACTCCTACTGTGACATATCTTCTTCATACACATCACTTCCACATGAACCATTTATAGCATCTTCTAGAGTTTGATATCTACCATTTGGTCCAAAATAACAGCAATGCAAACAGGCTTTCTATACCCAACAGTGGTTAGGTGTTGCCCTGAAGTTGTGTTTATGGTTATCATTTTTTATTATGGAATTAGGGTTATGATTTTTTTTTATTATGTGCCTTTATGTAGGCACATAATTCAGAAAACAAATTGGAAAAAAAAATTTCATTACAAAATTGCGTTCAACAAAATTCATTCATGGTTTAACAGCCGATCCAGGAATACTAAAAGAAGACCAAATGCACACCATCGGGATCAGTGGCTGGATCCATTGAGACATCCCTGTGGAAGGAATCAAGGAAGATCCATCGTTGGAAGAGGAAGAAGGGGAGTTGAAGGCCACCCTCATCCAGCAGAGCAAGACTAAGTGGGATCTCTTTCTGAAATTTGCTCACAGGCCTCTTATATTCTACAAAAACATCTGGCTGAAAGATTTATCGGTTCCTCCCAAGCTTGTAATGTGTGAATGAGAGAAATATTTTTCAAAGAAGTTCACTCAATGGGGAGGCAGAATTGGTGGCAGATTCTTGAAGTCCAGAGAGTAGCAGGCTGTGATGTCCATGTTCTTGCATACATCAGTAGGGCACACACTTGGGGAAGGTGGAAACAATATATTTAAAGGCTGTTGAACAAAGCTTAGCATTGTGGAGATTTGGGCAAAGATGTAAGTTAAGATATTTCAGACTTGTGGAATATATTTAGATTACTTTATTTACTTCAAGAGGTTGCAAATCCGTAGTGCTACATTTGGGGGAGGAGTACACGCTTACCATGAGCCCAAGGTCAAATTCATACATCATGCTTGACCTGATTACTTGAGCTAACCAATTTTCTGGGTGTGCAATTAATTCGCCTGCTGTGCGTTCAGAGTTGAACTAGATAATTTTGATGGTCCATTCGAACTCTATGATTAAACTATGAATCAGTGTTTTTCAAACTTGGTCATTTTTAAGATTGTGGACTTCCATTCCAGAATTCCCCAGCCAGCACTGTGGGAGCTAACATCCACAGTTCTCTTAAAGTTGCCAAATTTGAGAAATGCTGAGCTACACATGGTCTTCTCTTTTGAAATGTAATTTGGGATCTTCTCTCATCAGCTTAATGCAAAGATATTTTTTTTGGAATGGCAAGATAGAGTTTCAAGATGTACTTTTTAATTGCTTGATGTGACAGGGCAATCTGTCTTTCCAGGTTTGCCCTAGATATTTGATTGCTTGAGGTAAAGAGCAAGTGTTCTCTTTGTCCCAGTTCCATAGACAGAAGCTGCTGGACAGTCTGCTGAGTCTCACTTCAGTTCTGGGGATGAGATAATATTTTGCATCAACACAGTGACAGTGCTGGTAGGGTGGTGAGCCGCCAAATTGGCCCCTACTTTCCACCTATCAGGTGAGATAAGCCAAAGTGGGCACTCTCCAGGTCTCCTCAGTTAGCAACATCACCTTGAGGGTGATAATCACCTTCTCAGTGATGGTTCCTCCCAGTGGTGGGATTCAGCTGGTTCGTACCATTTCAGCAGAACCGATAGCTCATTTTCTGTTGCCCAGGCCCAGAATGGACTTCCGGAAGTGGCATCCACACAGAGAACCGGTTGTTCACATATCTGAATCCCACCACTCCTTCCTCCCTCCCTCCCTCCCTCCCTCCCTTCCTTCCTTCCTTCCTTCCTTCCTTCCTTCCTTCCTTCCTTCCTTCCTTCCTCCCTCCCTTCCTCCCCCCCTCCCTCCCTCCAGCCACTTTGCACCATTTCGGCAGAACCGGTAGCTAATTTTCTGTTGCCCAGGCCCAGAATGGACTTCCGGAAGTGGCATCCACACAGAGAACCAGTTGTTCATATATTTGAATCCCATCACTGGTTCCTCCCCTGTGGAATGATACCCCCTTGGATATCTGTACTTGCTCCCACCCCCTTTGATTTTCTGTCAGTTGTTAAAAACAATGGTTGTTCTCCCAGGACTTGGGTTGGGATGGTGGTGGAAGCCATTTTGTTTTTTGATTCTGTCTTCTAGTTGGCTATATTCTGGTTTCTCTCTCTGTCTCTCTCTCTCTCTGTCTCTGTCTCTGTCTCTCTCTCTCTCTCTCATTTATCTATCGATAGTCCTCAATTTACGACCACAATTGGGATTAGAATTTTTGTTGCTACGTAGTTGTTAAATGAATTGACCTTTCTTGTCATGGTTGATCAGCGAATAATTGCAATTGCTGAGTGAATGGTGTGGCTGTTAAGTGAATCCAGCTTTGACTTTGCTTGTCAGAAGCCATCCAGGAAGATCACAGAGGGTGCCGTGTTCCTTTGCAAGTTAAAAGACAGCCTGGCCTTTCAGTAACAAAGATCTTGATGGACTTCTTCTCCTCTCAGATGCAGAATTTGTTCCTAGTTGGGAATTCTGGAACTTATACTGGCATACCAAAGAACAATAAAAGCTGGGGTAGATCTTCAGATATGGAAACTGACCATCTCTGAATGGCAGAAGATCATGCTGGTAATCAGAAACTAGAGGGGACAATATCCTTTACTTCTGCTTCATGAGAAGGATCTAACTACCTCATCTGCTGTATGAAGAAATTCTAGTGTCCTTTTACATTAGAGAGGTAACCTGAATTATTGCTGACAGGAGATGTCCCATCTCTCAAATGCCTTTTACTACGGCACAGAGGCTAAAAACATCACATTTGGTCGAGAAAAGATCAGAACAATGTTGAATTAAATATCCTTCCTGCAAGTGGCCACACTTGGAATACTGGTCACCACGATGTAAAAAAGATGTTGAGACTCTAAGAAAGAGTGCAGAGAAGAGCAACAATTAGGGGACTGGAGGCTAAAACATACAAGGAACAGTTGCTGGAATTGGGTATGTCTAGTTCAGTGGTTCTCAACCTGTGGGTCGGGACCCCATTTGGGGTCGAACGACCATTTCACGGGGGTCGACAAACAACGCAGTCCGCCATTTTTTCCCCCTTTTCCTTAGCTGTGCTACTCCCTTTTATTCTATTGGCTTTTGAAAGCCAATAGAATAGACTCTCTTGAATAGAGTCTAATTGGCTTTCAAAAGCCAATAGGAATTGTCCAGGCTGTCTCTGCCCTGCTGAGCCTGCCAAAAGTCCCATTCTGCAAACGGTGCTGCACCCGTTGAGTAGTCCTCGACTTACGACCGGTTGAGTAGTCCTCGATTTACGACCGGTTGGGGGTCGCGGCATTAAAAATGTTGAGAACCACTGGTCTAGTTTAATGAAGAGAAGGACGAGGTGGGGACATGATAGCAGTCTTCCAATATCTCAGGGACTGCCACAAAGAAGAGGGAGTCAAGCTATTCTCCAAAGCGCCAGAAGGCAGGACAAGAAGCAACGGATGGAAACTAATCAAAGAGAGAAGCAACCTGGAACTAAAAAGAAATTTCCTGACAGTGAGAATAATTAACCAGTGGAACAACCTGCCTCCAGAAGCTGTGAATGTTCCAACATATAGCCTTGACTATACACACTTTTGTTGGCAGGGTGATGTCTCTGCTTTTTAGTTTGTTGTCTAGATTTGCCATAGCTCTCCTCCCCAGGAGCAAGCGTCTTTTAATTTCTTGGCTAAAAATAAAAGCAAAGCCGGGAATTAAAATACACTGCAGCAGAGCAAAACCGGGATGATACAGCAAATATTTAAAAAGCAGTAGCAGCATAGCAAACATTATGCCAATAGCTGAGCATGGGAGAGCTCTTATTATGGCACTCCTCAATTTACAGCCACACCTGGGACCAAAATTTCCATTGCTAAGCAGGGCAGTTGTTAAGTGAGTCACACCCCATTTTATGACCATTTTGCCAGAGTTGTTAAACAAATCTTTGCAGTTGTTAAGTGAATCGTGCAGTTGTTAACCGGATCTGGCTTCCCCCAGTGACTTTGTTTGTTGAGCCAGTTGGGAAGGTTGCAAATGGTGACCAAGTGACCACGTGATGCGGCAATGGTTGTGAATGAGTCTATAGGGCAGTTGCCAAGGGTCTGAATTTTGATCACATGACTGTGGGGATACTGCAACGGTCATAAATATGAGGACAGGGCATAAGTCATTTTCCCCAATGCCATTGTAATTTTGAAT